CAAACATTTGGAGATTCCAAGCTATACAATGACAGACTATAATGCGCATTTGCGTACGAATACACAAAATTGGAATAAAGCGCAAACCGATCATTTATTCGATTTAGCTAAGCAGTAAGCATTATAATATTATAATATAACATAATATTATAATATTTTAAATATATAATAAAATTGAACAATTCATTTAAGGTTTGATTTACGATTTATTGTAATGGCTGATCGTTGGGACCGCGAACAACATGGTACGAAAACTGTTGAAGACTTAAAAGAACGGTATTATGAGGTTGTAGGGTTATTGACTAAAGCAAGAGGCCAACCAAGTGACAAGAAAACGTATGTTTATGATGGAGATCATGAGCGTCGGCGTAAAGATCAACTAAAAAAACTTTTTGATCGTACATTAATGCAAGTTGAGGAAGAGCAGATGCTACTGAATGAACTGAAGAAAATTGAAGCTCGTAAAAAAGAACGCGAACGCAAAACACAAGACTTGCAAAAACTCATTTCTCAAGCTGATCAAGTACGTACAAATATGTGGCAAATAGTAAATATTAATCACTTAGTACGATTAATGTAACCTTTAAAATTGGTTCATTATTTAATATAACACAATTTATTAAATTTAGAGTGACGCAGCTAGCAATACACCAAGCACACGTAAATACGAAAAGAAGTTGCACAAAAAGAAACTTCACCACCAACCGCGTCCATCAAAAGTTGATTCTGTTGTAAATGCCATAGAAGTTGGTACCAGCGGTATTAAATTTGCAGATCTGCGTGGGTCTGGAGTATCATTACGTTCCCAAAAGATGAAGTTGCCCGCAAATATAGGTCAGCGAAAAGTTAAAGCATTAGAACAATGTATGCAGGAATTTAAAGTTGGTAAGTAAAATATAGTATATTTTTTCGTATATCTTTTAATAAATGATTGCGTGTTTTAGATCCAGCTCCACCACCTACAGAAGATATTTGCAATTCTTTCAATGAAATGCGCTCAGATATGGTGTTACTTGGTGAATTGCGTACAGCTCTAAATACTTGCATTTATGAGATTGAAAGTCTCAAGCATCAATATGAGGCAGCATGTCCAGGAAAGGTAATTTCAGTTTATACTAATTTTAATTGTTACTAACTTTTGTGTTGCTTGTAGAGTTTAAGCATTCCACCAACTTTAAAACCACCAGTAACTGTAACTCCAGAAACTGCGGAAGCTAATAATTCAACCACAACGACAACTACCTAAAAGAAAATACAAATACCTAAATTGATACATAAATCAATTTTCAAATTAATTATTTAATATAAAAATAACGGAATAAGTGGAAATGAAATAAATTAAGATAAAAATAAATATTTAATATGATGGCATATATAATTTTTTTTAAATCAAATTATAAAATTTCACATATATACGCAAAACGAACTATACAAACCATGTTTCTAAGGTATTTGCTTTTATATTTAT